TAAAAGTGTTTGCTTATATTATCACATATAATACAATCCAATTAGATACAACCTGTTAAGACTGATGGAGACAGAAGAATAAAAGCTTGATGGGACTTCAAAACAAATGATACTAAATCAGTACTAGCTATTATGATGTCTTGTTTTCTCTAAAATAGCTGTTCCTACCATCCAATCTTCTCTGCCTCACTTCTGTTGAGCTCTTTTTCTGTCATTTGTTGTCAGTTTGTCTTCTTCATTTCTCTTTCTGCTCCATTCATTGTGGCCTCTCTGCCACTATCTCTGGAATCTTGGTATTTTCCTTTTTTAAAATATCCTGCAGTATTCTCTGTAGAGTTGAAATGGTGGTTGCAAATTCACCTAGTTCCTCTTTATCCTGGAAGCACTTTGATTTTCCATCAATTTCCAGGGACAGTTGTGCAGGATATATCAATCTTGGCTGGAGGTTATTATCTTTCAAAGCTTGAATTATTTCCCCCCATACTCTTCATGATTTAATGGTTTGTTCCGAGAAGTCTTCTGTAATTCTGATGGGTGTTCCCTTGTAAGTAATCTGTTTCTTGTCTCTGACGGCTTTTAATATTTTGTTCTTATATTGGATTTCTGGAATTTTGATTATTATATACCTGGGTGTAGCTCTGTTTGGGTTGTAGGTGGCTGGGGTCCTGTATGCCTCATACATCTGAGTGTCTTTACCTTTTGCTAAATTAGGGAAATTCTCTTGGATTATTTCTGTAAATAGCTTTCGTAGTCCATTTGTTTGTGTCCCTACTTCTTTTATGTCCTTAATTCTTAAGTTATAGATCCTCTTATCATCTTCTAGCCTTTGTATTATTGCTGTTTGTTTTCTTCTTATTTTTAAGAAGTTTTTCTTTTCATGCTCCCACATTACAAATCTGCCCTCCAGTTCAGATAATCTATCCTTAGTTTCTTTCAAGCTGTTATGCCAGCTTTCAATAGAGTTTTTAGTTTCCTGGTAATCTCTTTGAACCTGCTTCACGTATTATATGTTTTCTCTATTTTTTCCATCAAACAATTCTCCTCTTTTTTTCTGTTCTTCCATTGCACCATCTGTTTTTTTTTTTTTTTGACAGTGCTTAGCATTTCTCTAACTATTCTACTTATATCTTGCTTTAAGTTGTTAATAAGTTCATTTTTGAACCGGTCTATGAGGCTCTGGAGATATCGCTTTATGTCTATTGGTGCTGTGTCTGATGATGTTGCATGTTTCTCAGGATTGGGGGCTGATGACCCTTTCTTGTTGCTCCCTCTTCCCATATTTTTTGTTCCTTCCATACAAGTGTATATAGGAGGCCCAGTTTCTTTTGCTGGGTAGGTGTTCCCACCCACTGCAATGTATTAGGGAGACACAGACCTGGGCAGCCTCTTCTGGGCCCACCCCTCCAGGTCAACCTATCAAAGGCTTCACTGCTAGGGTGCACCTCCAGGCACTGGGACCTGGTTTGGGCTAGTCTACTGGGTCTTAAGTCAGTGGCGACACCCAGGTCAGGCACTCCCTACCAACTCCATTTGAGAGGGGAATATGCAGCTAAGGACACTGCAGTGTCCTGTTCTGGCTAGTCTGCCTGGTCCCAGTATGTCCTTTGCTGAAGCCTGCTACTCTATGGAAAGGTCCCCGAACCACTCACTCACTGCAGGTCAGTGCAAGGCTCCTGGCCAGTCCCGCTCTCAACTTCATTCACCACTTCCCACTCTCAGAGCTTTCATGCTTCTCTCCTTGCTGTGCCAATTGGGATGCAGCAGTGGCTGCAGGTAATTCAAATCGTGGCTTCCAGTAGCACGGGCTCCAGCTTCCACACCGAGACCTTGTCTGTTCCTGTTATAGCACCGGGATTGCATTTCCAGTTGTTTTCTCTCAGCCTAGTTCGTTCCTGGATTGGCAGGGCATATCTCCCCCTGCTTAGGACTTCTTGCCTCGCACCATTCCTGGATTTTAAGTGGGGTATCTCAGAGAGCCTCTGTAGCTGCTGTTATCTATCCACCATGTTCTCCTGGAAGCCTCTATCAATATTTTTAAACTACAATTTTTGTTATGTAAAGAGGTAGTCACTTTTCAATCATTTTAAATCATTAAATTCTTGCTAATTATAAGTTGATAAGGAAGACTTGGATTATCTGATTAGTAGTACAGATCAATTAGCTCTTTAGACGAGTAACAACTTAGAACATTTTCTCAGGTCATCAGCAAATCAATGTCATTTGATTTTTAAAAGTTAAATGTTACAAAATTATAGGATTTAAATGAACATTATTTTTTAATCTCCACACTTAGCACAGAAAAAATTAAGTAGAAATGTTTTCTTAAAAAAATGTGTAGTTCTAAAATACAATGATTAATCCAGAATTCCCCTCACTAAGACAAAAGGAAGTAAAAAAGTTAAAACATAGCCAGAAGGGGGTTTTGATGTTTATATTGTTTACCATCTTTTACTTGGCTATGTACTGATTATGCAGAGTAGATTTCACATGTAACCAAATGGTGTAAATCCATCAGGAGATGATTCTAACTCAAGTATGATCTCACGTTCCCTTTGTCCTTGGAGGCTGATTTTTTTGTAGTTAGAACTTCCCTATGACACAGGGCCATGGAGATCCATTTCTCTGGGGAAAATTAGAAATCAGTCCTAAAAGAATAAAGACTCCTCTTTATATAGTCATAGATCCCCCATTCACATGCCTCACTGTCTGTGAGTGTCAAGGGAAGGATCCTCTATGAAGCCGTCATTGGCAAATTTCCTCCACAATCAGGTAAGTGGACATGTTCTTTTGGTCATTTCCAACAGACTCACCCTCCAAGTTTCCTGCTACTCTTTCCCACTCAAAAGAAACTTCAAGAACCTATCTAGCTCTGGTCTGGCTGGACTAAGGTGATGTTTACAAGTAAACAATCAATAATCCTCCTAATTCCACGTAAACTTGTACCTCACCTGAAATGCAGGTACCCTTCAGAGAAGGAAAGTATTTTGCCACCTGCTGCTAAAGCTTTGCAAGCTGATTCTTGCACAGCAAAGCATATGTGTGAGAATAGTGTTTCTCTTCAGAGAATATGTTAATGCTTTTAATGTGTGTACCAAAGAAAGTCAGAAGTAATACACAAAATGAAAGCTTTGTTTCTCTCTAAATGTGAAATTGAAGAGGTTGTGCATATTTTATCTCTTTTAGGGACAAAAAAAAAGACAGGAAAAGGGACAGGAAAAGAAAATAAGCTGTGTTATATGCATTTTTTTAAAAAAAAAGTCATCTAACATTACACTTCTGACACTTACATGGAAATATTCAAAGTGATGACTATCACACCAAAATGGGAGTGAAATTATGTTCCTACCTTTAAAAATGGGTAAATATTGGCCAGATTAGCCAAGAATTTTACCCTTTACCCGTAGTGATGAGCTGCAGTACTAACAGCTATGTTAATACTGGTATACAAGGACACATCTGTGCACCAGCTTCATCCTAAAACACTTCCTTCAGGGTGGGCTTTGGCTCCACCAACCAAAAAATATGAGGTAGAGGGAGAAAACGGATTTTGGGTCCAATTTTATGTGTGTGTGCACACAAGTATGTATGTCTATGTATGTAGCATATAAATTAGTGTCTTTGTATGAATATCACAAATACACATTTATATGTGCATACTTTTGTGTTACATATACACACATGGGTATGTGGCTATTTTTGGTTTTGGAGAATACATTAAGTAATGTTAAGGTTGAATCAACAAAAAGGAAAAGGCAATTAACACATTTTCTGACCTTCACACCAAACTACTACAATCTTTCTGGACATGTTAGCTTTTTTATTCCATATACCTTATTTTTTTTTATAAATTGATATGGTAACAACTCTTGCCCTTGACTTTCTTCCTATAGTTCGAGTTGGGTTTCTCAGCCTCAGAGGTGGAGAGGTGTGGGGAACTTCCACTCACCACCCCATGCAGGCTGTTACAACCACAAAGAGAGCTACGGACAGAGACAGAAGCTGGTGTCTAGCTCCATGAAGTACAGTGGGAGGTTCTGGAGAGCAAAGACCCATGAAGATATTTTGAAGGTGATGGCTGTTGGAGAAGGACATAGCTTTGTACTCCTTTTGAATACAGAATTCAAATAAGGAGCAGTGGCTTAGTAAGTACAGGAAAAGTCCCAAGTGCAAGCTCTTTTTCCTTTCTGTTCCCCTCGCCTGTTAGCTGTGAAAGGACAATGTGACAGGCAGCGATGATGTATTGCCAAGTGTGGAAACTTTCAATTGCACAACATGAGAATCTATGACTGAAAACAGTTTTTTCTTTCCTCGTCAAGGAGACAGCATTTTAAAAACATTGACTTATGCTATTGTAACACTGATAGTTAACTAGGTATTGTTGGGAGCATTTCTCATTATAAATGTTGCAATTAAAATAAAATGCATTAGCCTTATGGGTATATCTATTCTTTCCTTCTTGGAAATGCAATAATTAAAAACAAATCTGTTATATGCAAATCCAAAGCAAGCATGAGCCACAAGTGGAGCTATTTAATGGCTTCCTTTTTTCCCTGTTGAATATACTGCTTACCTTTCTTTTTAGTACAATGCACATTTGCTAAAATAAAGAGAAATCTATTTAAAGCATAATTAATTAGGGTTTTTTTCTTCTTTATTAGAAAATAAAAGAACAAAACCCAGGAAATTGTTGTTCTCTCCTTATCCACTACAATATACTATTGTCTAAATCTAAAATATTAAATATCTTCACAAATATATAAGGATTTTGTTTTTTACTTTATCTCTTATTGTCTTCAATTGACTTTTTAAAGTTATCTTTAATTTTGAGACTCAGAAAATTATAGAGGAGGGTTTGAAGTAGATGTGCTGTTTCTTTTGCATTTTTCTGTATTGAACTGTATTTTCCCCAAGCCACAATACATATACATGACAGGTTTAGACCTTTGTCCCAGTGGGTCCTGTCTTCTCTTTTTTTTCTGCAGCATCTGAGATTTAAATAAATGGCTGAAGGAAACAGCACCACAGTGAAAGAATTTATTCTTTTGGGCTTTTCTATATATAGAGAGATTGAAACTATTCTCTTTGTGATCATTTTTCCAGTATATGCTTTGACTTTGTTAGGAAATGTTGGGATGATTTCATTAATCCGGTTGGATTCTCGACTTCACACACCCATGTACTTTTTCCTCAGTAATCTGGCCTTTGTAGACCTGTGCTATTCCTCATCAATAGCTCCCAAGTTCTTAGACACCCTCCTGACCAAACGCAGGTCTATATCGTTCTATGCTTGTGCCACACAACTGGGATTTTTCCTGAACTTCTTGATTTCAGAGATGTTCCTCCTCGCAGTGATGGCTTATGATCGCTACGTGGCCATTTGCAATCCTCTGCTCTACATAGTGCTCATGTCTCAGAAGGTGTGCACGGGGCTGGTATTGGGCCCCTACTTGTACAGCTTCTCTGTTGCTTTGCTCCACACAATAGTTACTTTCCAACTGACCTATTGTGGCCCCAATATAATCAATCATTTCTACTGTGATGATGTCCCTTTGATGGCCCTTGCCTGCTCAGACACCAGCCTCAAAGAGATTCTGATATTCATCTTTGCTGGCTTTAATATGGTCAGCTCATTGGCCATTGTGCTTATTTCCTACTTCTACATCGTTGCTGCCGTCTTGAGAATCAAATCCACAGAAGGCAGGCACAGAGCTTTCTCTACTTGTGCCTCTCATGTGACAGCTGTGACTCTATTCTATGGGACTCTGATCTTCATGTACCTACAGCCCAAATCCAACCATTCCCTTGACACAGACAAAATGGCCTCTGTGTTCTACACCATGGTCATCCCCATGCTGAACCCTATGATCTACAGCCTGAGGAATCAGGAGGTAAAGAATGCCTTGAAGAAAGCCATGGGACAATGTTATGCCCTGCCTCTAACACATTCTCGAAAGGGGGTTTCCTGAGTTGGACCAGTACCCCATGCAGATAGCAATGTCTTTTCATTGTTTAGACTAAAGCCTTTTTTTAAAAAATCACCCTCCATATGAGTAAAGTCATTTTGCATGTGTACTTGCTCTTCATTCAATCCATGAAAAAATAAACTCTTGAAAAGAGCACAAATAAATTTTAAAAATTATCACTATGTGAATAAATGACTCTGATGCTATCGACCTGAAAGACCCTAAGCAATCAGTGATGCTCAGCTACTGATTTTCAGTTTTCCTTCTTGATGAGTGTTGGTAGAAGATAGAGGATGCATCAAGAGAACAAATCTGTATGTACCCTCATGTTATGTTACGTAAGTTTCTGGTCTTTAACTTTACTCTGAGTGATACCCATCACTTTTCACTTTACCTCTGACCACCACTACACTCACCACACACAGGTTATTCCCTGAAATTATATGATGCTGTGGCATAAGTGTCATCCTGACTGGGTGAAGGGACAGCTCCAATGGTTGGTACAGCATTATTTCTGTGTGTGGCTGTGAGGATGTCTGGAGGTGTGACTCCATCTGTTCAGGTCCCACACAGAACAAATACATGAAGAAAAGATGACTCTTGCTTGTTTCTAAAGCTGAGACACCTGCTTTTTCTTGCCCTCAAGAATCAATTTCTGTTTTAGAGGATTCCAGACTATTCTGGGTTGACATCTCTGTTTTTCAAGCCTTCACCTTCCAAGTTCAAGTTAGATCATTAGCAACTCTGGTTTGTGAAATTTTGAGTTCAAATTGAACTACACCACCTTTATTTCTGGTCTTGCTTTACAAGTTGTATATCATGGGACTTCTCTACCTCCATGATCACATGAGACTATGCCATCGATCCATCTGTCTATCCATCTATGTATCCATCCATCCATCCATCCATCTGCCCTTCCACCTACCCATCTGTCTATCTATCACCCATCTGTCTATCCATCTATCCATCACTCTATCTTCAATTGGTTTTTTTATTTTGCTCCTAACCCTAATACTTGAAATTCTCACATCCTTTGAAAAGATTCCATTGTCATTTTGTAGATCTGAAAGTCAAACCCAGCTTTCCAAAGAGCTATTATCCTTCTGTTACCCTGTCACAGGTAAAAATTCAAGGCTATGTCTAAATCTCTTAATCAAAGAAGAGTTTTCCAAAGAGTCTTTGGAATTTAGAGTATATTAGAAAATCATAATATGGTAGATTCAGAATGAAGTAGCATAAAATGAAATGTTAACCATAGTTCCTGTCTAAATTGAATAATTGAGATGAGTGATTTTAAAGAAACAGTACAAAAACTACTCAAGGTCTAGTAGATATAGTTTTTTACTTTGACTACAACATATTAGATGTATGAAAAATTCTTTTATCTACTTATCCAACTGTTAGATATGTATCTTGTATTTGATATTATGTGATATTTGGAGAATACACATGTATCTCTTACCCGATAGTCCAGCCTGATGACAGAACGAGGGAGACAGATTCTAATAAAATACTTTCAAATCTCCCTCACCTGAAAGTGAAGGCATAAGAACCAGCCAGAGTGCGACTGCCACAGGAGGGAGATTAAGCCTAGTAATGTGCAACTAGGGCCAACATTTCAGTAGCAAAACTTACCAGTCATGCAGTAGCTTTCGGTGTCCTGTAAGTCCTAGGAAATGAGAACAGGCATTTGACACTTGGAATGGTGTGGGACAAGAAAGAGCCAACTTGGAAATAACATACCCTAAGCCTGAAGAAGGAGAGAGAGAGAGACAGACAGATAGACAGATACAGAGAGAGAGAGAGAGAGAGAGAGAGAGAGAGAGAGAGAGAGAGAGATTCATGATTCATTATTAATTATGAGCAGGAGTACTTTATTAAAACCCATCAGACTCTGATGTGACTATCACCATTACCTTTTGTTGTCTACACCTCACAGCAAGCCTTGGTTTGGCTTGAACACAGTTGCAGGTCTCCATCAGAGTGACTTTCTGGACAGAGTGCATATTTTCTGCAACATTTCACTTTTAGTTTCTAATATAACTTCTGCAGTCATTCTGAATGGTGATGGATGAATGAGGCCATCAGTGAGCAAATAAAATTAATAAGGTGTGACCTCTGGTTTCTTGCTTGCAATGATGTCCCCTGCCATGTCTGCACAGGGCTGGATTGTCATGTCCTCCATGGTTATAGTGATCCATCCTTTGCATGTAATGTAGAGTAGAGTGGTTGCACAGGGTAAGACACTCATGTGTTATCTGTGGTAATATGTAATTATGATCCTGTAGCTCTTTTAAATGTCAATCAATCACCTTATTTTTGTTAATTCTAGAGATAAGATTTCTATTAGAGACTTCACTGTCCACTGAGAAAAAAAAAAGAAAGTAAAGAAACTCAAGAAAGAGAAACTCATGTGACCACAGGGACAAAAAGAGTAAAGTGTTTTTACTGTCTCTAAGACCTAGATACCTGTTCTTCATAAAACGTGGTTATAGTCTGTGCTTTTGAGTTTTGTAAAATAGACTTATAATATTTTAAATTGTTTTTAGAAGAAGAAAAGTAAACTTTGGGCTGATGTTACAGCTTCCTTCTAGAGTGCTTGCCCAGCAACAAAAAAACATTGGTTTGACTCCCAGCACTGCAAACAGACAAGCTGTTAAACAGACAAAGTTGTCTCATCCATCATTTCCTTTATCAAGCAACTTTGATTCCTCTGACCTTAAAAGGAAAAAAAGGATTTCCATATAAAACAATCCAGATGAGTGAATAGATTTTAATTCAAGCCACCTGCTGAATCATAAGACAGTGTTATAACCAAGTAACTTTGATAGGCTTAACATGGAGCTGGGATCCAGGAAATGTGCACATGCCAATGACAAATTGCATTTTTTTAGACTTTACAATTCTTTTGACTTCATTGCTTTTTCATTATAAATGTATTTTATGTGATTTAAAGGAAAGTCACTTAATGAAATATGTACCATAAATAGATAACCTATTGTGTTCAATGTAGCATAGGTATACACTCATTTATGTAAGTCATAAATGGAAAATTAGCACAGTTGCTAAGAAATTGAAATGTAAGGTGAGAACCTCCTACACACATCCCCCATATAGTGCTCACATTTACAGGTGGACTCTTATGAATCTGCTGTACAATTATAATTTACAGATACTGTCTCTGACTGTTATTCCCTTGAGATTCAAAGATGAGTAAAACAGAGATTAATGTCAATACTTGCAGTGATGTATGTAAATAAATGCTTGTTAAAAACTGGCTATGCTCTTACAGAGAAATACCAGAGTTCGAAGTTAAGGGAAATAAGAGATTATAATTCAGGTTCCTGTGGCACTGTAGGATAGTTCCTTTTTTAAAATCCTCTGCTTTTCCTTCAGAAAAAAAATTGAACACATGCAAAAACTGATCAACCTATTAGCAAATATATTAAGGATGTTGGTATCAGAGACTAAAACACAAAAGGAGAAAAGAAAACTTTTACTCACAAATGAGACAACACAAAGCCATAATCACTTTTCTCATAAAGTTTCTTTATGAGAAACTTTTTAAATTTTTATTCTAATCTTTTTAAATTTTTATTCCCTTGCACAATTTTAATCTAAGTTTTCCTCTTGTTATTTTGAAAAGGTTTTTCAAAAAGTCTTTAAACGGTAAATATATTTTAGGTTTCCCAAACAAATAAAATGCACGAAAGCAAATTTCCTATGCTTTTCCACAGGTGTACTAGAGCATGTTTTGACTGATTACATATATTATCCAAAAGTAGGTTGATCTTATTATGTTATGCAATACACAAACCCAGGTATCATTGAATAAACAAAACAAAGTTATTTGAAAACCAAAGATTGGTGCTCCACATTCTGCATCCACTTTGATTTCCTATGCATTCCATCAACTTCAGTTAAATACAGTCTTTTCCAAGAATAATTTGTAATTTAAGTGGCTAAAGTTTAAAGTGATAGGAAGTGACTTGCAATGTCCCTTATTATTTTCCTTTCTTATCCATTTAAAAAAAAAGAAAATTGATAAAATTAGTGGCAATAGCATTTCTTTTTTATTAAAAAAACAAAACAGAAAAAGGGTAAAAATAATACATAATTTCAAAAAAATTAGGAAATCACTAGTTGATAATTACACATTATCTTCTTAGAAATACTTGTTCAAGTTACAAAAGTAAAGCATACAAAGTGGGCATTCAAACAGTGAGACTGCAAACAGTTCTGTTCAATGATTCAACAAAAACTTAGTAATATGGTTATTAGTCTTACACACATAAACATACATGGAGTTATATCCCTTAGAGCACTTTCTTTTCCTCTCTTTTTTATAATAGCAATTACACATTTTGGGTTTTATTACTCCTGCATTTCTTATTACTTTTTACACTAGAGACATAACATGATATTTATATTTATGATTCTTATTTATTTCACTAATGAGGATAGCCTCAAGTTGTCTCCATTTGCCTATGAAGGCCTCAAGTTCATCCCTTTTTATAGCTGAGTAATATTCCATTCTATAAAAATGCACCACTTGTTCATCCACTCTGTGGTTGATGGGCATCTTGGTTGTTTCCAAGATTTAACTATTACAAATTGTGCTGCTATGAACATGGGTACACATGTATCACTGTGATATTACCTTTCCAGTTTTTCTGGGAAAATACATGGGAGGGGAATAGTTGGATAGAAGGGAACTTCCAGTCCTAGCCTTCTGAGAAATCTCCATACTGATTTCCATAGTGGTTGCACCAGTCTACACATCTACCAACAGTGAAGCAATGCTACTTTTTCTGGGCAGCCTTGCCAACATTGTTATCAGTTGATTTCTTGATGGCAGCTATTCTTTCTTGAGCTAGATGAAATTTCAATGCTGTTTTAATTTGCATTTCTCAAATGACCAATGACGGTGAACATTTCTTCATGTATTTACTTGCCATTTATGTATCTTCATCTTAGAACTGTGTGTTCATCTCAGATGCCCA